TTAGAATCAAATGTCTAAACAAAAGTGTAGGAAACACAGACATATCCAACTGATAAAATGACTGTCCATTATTATACACATCGACATCAAGATCTGAATCCCATGTGATAACTTGTAAATAATCGATGTATGATTCAAAATCAGTCAAGCTTCAAACTAGCAAATTTCTTGGAACCGTCTGTCAATAGTTTGGCATCAAATATGACAGGACAGAATATTACGATTATGTTTCAATAGTGTAACTTGATCGAGTGAGTAACGTCCAGAGTGGGCTAGCTTTGAACATCTACCACTTGTTCTTGTAAAACTGACTTGTAATGAAACATAAACGTCTATGGGAATACCTTCAAGAGTAAATTGTTTCACCATCGAGTGTTTGCTTCCTAGTTGCGATTCAGACATGTATAACGTCTTGTTGCTATGGTAACCATGCATAAGATGAAAGGGGTGTTACACGGTAACCATGGTAACGATACAGTTTGAAGTGGCTGATGACAGTTTTGACAGAACTGGTACAGAGCAGGAATGTTTGGGATCAGTCAGTCAGGTTGCTTCCATGCCTTGTTGTTGCCATTCATACACAGCAAGTGAACGTATCTCTAGTTGGTACATCTTAAACATCTTTGGTAGAACTTTGTGAGCAACCACTGGAACATAGCAAACACAATGCCACGTAAAATACCAGCTTCCAAGAAAACACGCATTTATGAATATAAAGAGAAAAACACAAAAGACTACAGAATGAAAAAAAAAACAGAATGCAAATAACACAAAATGAATAATATGCTCTATATTTCTACATCTGAATGTAATTGTTTCTGACAAAGTTGAGCGTTCTGATCTAAAATTGTCTGCAACTTGCGTATTGTGTTGCTAATTTTCCTTTTCATCATGGCCAAATATATCTAATAGCAGAATTGTGAAAGCATTGGGACATGACAAATGGATTCCATGCTCATGTTTCAATAAAAATGAAAAATTTCTGTGAATTTGAAACCACGCTTAAGTAATTCATATTGGAAGGCTAATTACTGATATCGTTTTCAATAATAACAATCACCTGAATTGTTACAAAGATTATCCATGTAGCGGTAATTAACACGACGTTTTGAACAATATCACTCGAACCATCAAAGGAAAAATGAATTGACAAGGTATTAAAATAACTATGTAAAGTTTCATACATAAATTGATTGGGGCATGCGATCTATCAAGTGGCTGATGTAACCATAGAAACAAGAATTCCCAGGATATGTCAAGAAGTGATCTGCTCCCTACCAACGATTCTGTTTTGCCTAACACCATCACAACATGCAGTTTAGGGATTTGTATAAATAATTTTGTAAAGAAGCATTGCATGTATCTTAAATTATGAAACATTTAGATTTCAAGTTGCAGCGTGGCTTGCTCTATCAACTAAAATTCGTGACTCTATGACGTTGTATATTAATCTTAATGTTTTATATGTTTTGGGGATTTGCGTTTTTCAAATCCGCTCCTGCTCATTACGTTTCAGAACACTTTGTATCGTCATGTTCATTGGTTACGTAAAAGACACCATATTGACTTGGTTGACAAAATTGTTTTTTGGCCAGGATAAGTTAGGCTGCCTTGTGGTACTTTTTCCAATTCCAACTAAGAAGTCTCATAAATTCACTGTGAAATCCAAGAATAGTCTGCAATAAATACGTTAATACACCCGAGTGATTAATATTGAAAACATGGTGAAATTTTGAGTTGAAAGGTTGTTAATTAGAAATGAGAAGTAAGAAGACATTACTGGGGATTACCTGGATTGCGGGGTTCACATTAGGAGACACTATAGAGCTTTATATGAGAGGGCTGGATTAGGATTATGACCATTCTAGCTATCACTATATCTCACTCTTTTTATCAATTTTCATCAAGCGGTAAATTTCCTCCGAATTACATTTCAAATCAATGATGTCAGAGACTAAGAGCATATTTCATTGGCATGCAACAATACTCCCCATTGGGTTAAAGGCCCGTAGGATTTCCAGTACGGTCGATGTTGAATCGTATCGGTGATCTGAAGTGTTGAAACTTATTAAATCAAAGTGAATTAGACTCACCCAGTATATTTTGAAAGTCGTCATGACTCCCCTCAAAAACACAAAGATTCAAATGTGCTTTACGTTTTACATGAAATATACAGGGTAGGCCAAACAAGTACATTCACATTTAAGTTCCATGTCTAAACATTATAGCATAGGTTATGTATGATATATCCAGGCCTGTAAGACACTTTTCTCCAAGGGAGGTGCGGTTTTTAATAAAGAGAAAATAGAATTGTAATTTTTTCCGCGTAAATCAACTCTCCTAGAAAATTTTACAATTTTAAGATGATATTTGGTGCTTTCTGGGCACTTTTAAAGTGTATGAGTCAATAAAAAAATATTTTTTTCAAATTTTGGGGGTGTCAAAGGGGGGGGGGGTGCCAAAGGGGGCTGTACGGTTGGGGTGCCAGAGGGGGGAGCGAGTGTTTGTCCCCCATATCTGTCCCCCAGAAACATTGACCATATAAAGTTGCTGCTATTTGATGAAGTCTGGGCACCTAAAATGTATATGATACATGAAATAAATTCAGAATTTCTGTCAATTGTTTTGTGGGGGATGTGAGGGGTGGCCTACTTCCTTAGAAAATTTTACAATTTTAAGATGCTTTTTGATGCTTTCTGGGCACTTTTAAAGTGTATGAGTCAATAAAAAAGATTAAATCATTAATTTTTTCAATTCTTTTTTGGGGGGTGTCCAAGGGGGGTGCCCGAGGGGGAGGTGGGGTGAGGATGCCAGAGGGGGAGCAAGTGTTAGTCCCCCAGAAACATTGACTATATCAGAGCTATTTGATGATGTCTGGGCACTTCAAAAGTGTCTGAGACAATACATAAATTAAATTCAGAACTCTTCAATTGTTTTGTGGGGGATGAGGGGTGGCCCACTCCCCCTAGAAAATTTAACAATTTTAAGATGCTATTTGGTGCTTTCTGAGCACTTTCAAAGTGTATGAGTCAATGGAAAAAAAATTGAAAAAAAGTTTTTTCAAAAAAGTTTCCCCAAATTTGTTTGGCCATGATATCTATGGTTAGATTTTAAATTCCAGGTTGACATTATATTTCCATCCAATCGGTTAAATATTGCCAAAGTTAATTTTGATTGTTCGTACCATGGGCATAATTTTGACAATCATATTTAAAACATAAACGCGACATATCAAAATCAAAATTTGTTAATCGAGTAAGATTAAGTTCTTTAATTCTTGATATCAACATTGTAAATGTATATTAAAAAAAAAAAAAAAAAAAAAAAAAAAAAAAATACCTGGTTGTCTGCTACAGGTACAGATAGGTTGTCCAACTGATCAGTTTCAAAGTAATGACTGATTACATTTTTTAATGGCTGAATATTTGTAATTGATCTTTCCAGTGGTATATCACATTTGACACAAACTGCGAATATTGAATTCAAGCTTGGTACGCATGCCCACTCTCATTCCAAATTATTCTAACCACACAAACTTAATCAATCAAATTAAAATGAAACTAAACACAACCATTTGTAAAACTAGTTCGTCTCAACCTCCATATACTACTTGTGTATCCACCCTAGTTCCACATATTTTGATGTATTAAGTTTTGTGCAAATTGATGCTGGATTTCTCTACTGACCAGCAAGTATTGTTACTTGATTGAAGGGCTTTTTGATCGAGTCTCGTCTTGAACATGTTGGGATGCCAGTGTAAAGGGTAAGATAAATACATATTATCATTTAATTGTATTCCTCTTTCTGTTTGCTTTTTGCAGGCATCGTGAAAAATCATGGCCTTTTATTAGTTCTTTTTAGAAACTATTTCTAGCTGAAAAACAGGAAGATGCATGTTAGGATCGGAGTATCAGCTGAGGTATCAGAATGTTGTGCGATATCGTTTTTGAATTTCTCATTAATTTTATAACTCATCAATATGGTTTATTGTGATTTGTTTTTACTTTTTGGTGTTAGATTCATTTTAGTATCTTCTCATCTTTCTGTTCTTTACGAAATGACAATTTTGTATTTCACAGTTCACTTATGATTTTCAATATAAAGTAGTGGAAATGACAAGTTCAATCTCCAACCGAAGTTCCAAACTGTTTGCTCTTGCTCTTAATAGGACAAGAGTGAGATCACTGCATTTGGGGAATGGCAGATGGAGATGTGTGACACACGCATGCATGCCTTCTCATCACTTGCGTTTGTTGTCGAGTCAACATCGGTGGTCTATATAGTATCATATTCAACCCCAAATATATGTTATTAACCTTCTTTTCAACTTTTTAAAAGAGATAATGCTGGTGAATGAGCTGTTACTTTTGCACAAACTCAACTATAATACTAGGGTTTTTTAGACACTTTAAAGTGGTATATGTTCCTACAAAAGAGGATTTCACTGTGTTTACACATCAGAAAGAGAAAGTTTGAATATGAAAATATATATATAGTGCATGGTCTTAAGCTTGGACATCAGGTCAGTTTTCAAAGGGACGGTATTGGACTGTGAAAAAGAGGATTGTGATATGTAATATATGATATAATAACAAAATACTGAAATGGTTGAGGAATAAGAAAGATGTTTCAGGGACTCCGGGCTGATCATTTATTTGTTAAAAGAGCAGTGAATCAGAGCGTGTTGATTTATTAACTTTTCACAAATTAACAGTGAAAAATATGACACCTTACTACATTTTAAAGAAAATGCCATTAGTGGGGTCGTAAGAATTAATTAGCGAGGGTCGTTAAATAGTTATTTATATCAATATGGTGAAGCTCTGACAGGCATACTTTTGAAAAATGATTCTCTGAAAGAAGCAAAAGTAATGTTTTTATTAATTCAAAAGAATATAGAGAATTAGTTCCGTCAATTTGGAAGTATATTGAAAGAAATGACTCTATGAAACAGGAGAATTATCAGTTCCTTTAATTTGAGGAGTCGAGTATTTCGTTGTAGATGATAAAACTCCGACTATATGGGCCAGAATCAGAAGCGGTAAATACACACTTGATCGTCGTTGATCCCCGATGAAAAGGTAATAGATATTTTGACATTGTAACAGCACAAAGTTTAAAAGAAATAATCGATTGATAATTATATAAGGGTTTGTTTGCAATTTATTAAAAGATTATTGGATTATATTGTTAAAATTGCCATGGGAACCACAACAAAAATGTGAGTGACATGCCATGTGGAGAATAATAAGCACCTTTAAAATTTTAAACTGGATTTATGTTTTAAGAATAACAACAATTTGTTGTCAAAGTGGAACGTCTACTGCTATTATTAAACAGATATCTCTCTTATCCTTTTTAAATATCTGTTAATTCACTGGTCATTAAAGAATATCACGTGGTCTAATATTGGATCAAACCAACAACTAGGCGTTAATCCTTAACGCCATTAAAACTTCTTAAATGGCCATTTGGATTACATTACATTACCTATCAAGAAGCTATTATCATTAAGGTATTATGCAATAATCCATCGATGATCTCAATGAATATTTTATTATTTTAAGCTATTGTACTCGACTTTATCTATCGAGAAAGTTACTAGAATTCTTACGTTTCTAATAAATTGTTATTTTAATCTTATATTATGCAATATCCTTGAATTTAATCTATGTCTCAATATGGCTTACTTTGACTCGGAATGTTTTGAAAGACATGGTTTAAGTATGTGATAATGTATGACAAAGCTATTATATCTCTATTATCGCCCAATATACCAGGTAAATACAGTGAGTGACATGACCATTGAAGATAAGACAATGGGAATACTCAACAACAATGGAGGGATAAAAAGCCAGATGAAAGTTGTAAAAACTCTTGAATGCGATTGAATTAACCCTGGGAAAATATCCCCTATGACCGGATATGGGGAATATGAAATCGGTTTACAATGGCTATAACAATGTATACAAAATAATGTATAAAAAATAATTGGTTATCTTATATTTCTTCGGTGTTATATTTAAAAGATTATAGGATTATTGTTGAAATCGCAATGAAAACTTTACTTTGGCACAAATCCTGTGTCAATTTAATCCATTTCTCAAGCCTATAATTTATTAATTAAAAATTATGCACAGTCATGTTGAAGTATGTTGAATTTTCTTTGGTGACAATGTGTGACCGAGTTAACAATTCGATAATTTGCATTTTTTGATATCGTAAAGTTAACACCTGAAATGCCGTACTTCATGCAACATTTTGAAACAATGAGAAACATAAAAATACATTTCAAGTTATCCTCATTGAATACAGCATCATAAACTTTAAGGGCATTTTTCTAGTTTTGAAATAAAACCTTGGCAAGTTGTAACAAGTCTCGAGTGTTCTTGAAATAAAAGCTGGTAAAGGCGGTTTTAATTGCTGCTACACAAAGAGATATTTCAATCAAATTAAACCAAGAGGCTCTGGACGGTAATCCTATCTGGTTGAATATTAGCATTTCCCCTCTCTTTCTACTCAGGGGTATTGACAAACAACTGCCCAGATATTCCGAGCGTTCAAAACCGATTCATTACATAGAGTATATTAAACATTTCAATATCCTGAATATATTCAAACCACCTTGGGTGAGTAAATACATTTTACATCTCATTTAAGTTATCATATATTTCCAATCATACTAACGATGCATAAATATCAACAAAATCTAGATAGTAAGACTGTGCAAATATTGGTACTTGCCTTGATCGAGACGCATATAATGGCTAAACATCCGACTAAGTGCAACGTTATTCCTTCTTTACACACATCTGTTGATGAATTTCAAAATGATACTTCCTTGAAAATGTAAGCTTCTTAGTCGACTTCACACTTATTTACATTTGAATTCACTGCCACAACTTGCGTCGACGATCTTGGTTTTGGTCTGTCAAAATGTTTGGGAATGATTATAAATGAGTTTTGCCGAAACCTGATGGATTTTTGGTGTTACAATGTGAGGAATCAGTTTTAGGTGAGGAGAGAGGGCCGCTAATGAGCCAGTATTTATTAGCCGTCAATGGTTAAGACTTTCTCGAGTTGGTTGCTGACGTGACTCCGTCTGACAGAAGAAATGAAAAATAACTAAATCATTGACCATAATCACTGTTTGGATGTTGTCAAGTTGATGTTGTAAGTGTGGCACAAGTGGTCTTGCCTCATTGCCCCTTGCTACTTGTTCCACTAGGGCTATAAATGCAACTTATGTCAGGGATGATTATTCAATTAAAACTTATTAATTCTTTTACAGTGAGGATTTGCTGAAATGTTGATCGGAGAAGATTTCCCGCTTGTTCAACCAAACAGATCACAACTGTCATGTAGCGAACGCTGTCAATTCTGATTGGATGAGGCGGATCACGTGTCTAATGAAATGGACAATCTCTTACTCCCATAACACAAGCGAGTTTAGAGAGACTGATACATGACATTGAATGGAGCAATAAACTAGCTTTTAAAACTATTCACAGACTTTTAAAAGTATAACATCGGGACTTAAACATGATGGAAAGTGAACGAGAAAGTGGATTCATCAATAGTACTCCGTGTATGGCAGAGTTTATGGCCGATGTACCAGGAATGAATGAATCTGCGTTTGGTAGGTCATCAATCACCGTCGAGTCACGACTACCTCCCTACTGCCAGCCTCTCAATAGCTCGAGTCAGCTGCACTCTGCCATTAGCCAGGTCACTTCCACCGGCAGAAAATCTCTGGGAGCCACAAAACAACAACCAGCTTCCCACTTGCCCGAATATCCATGGATGCGGGAAAAGAAACCAGCCAGGAAGTCACCCCCGACTCCCGTTCTCACAACCCCCTTAGGTAAGCCTTAATCAACACTTTTCAATCTAATAAAAACTGGTCATTTTATTTATATTCATGTATCATACAATCTACATTACTTCATCACTTTATCATACAATTTATAAAACATAAAAGTCATAGAAAAGTAATATGAAAAGATGTATTAGATATATTAGACTAGCGTAATTTTGAACGAGCTGAATAGTAAACGGGTTTATTGGTAATCCAGTAATTGATGGTGTGTAGTAAAGTCTCACTGTGATGTTTTGTGTTCAACGCTACTACTAATGTCAAATAAAATGTTTGTGATTACTATTTTGTAGATATACATTTATCTCCATTGCCTCCATCCTTTTCACAACTTCATCTAACTCAATCAAGGGTACATTTCATGAAAGAGGGATTAGGTTGGAAATTTTAATTAAGATTATTACTGATCCTACGACCTTATTTTCTTTGTATCTCTTCTACAATCGCATCAGCTAAAATTACATTCCAAACCAAATCAGTGAAAATCATGTAGTAATTACGATTGAGATTTCGCTGTAAATTATCGTGTCGGTAAACATATCACAAGGTTCACTTCACCTGCTCTTCTTGGTCATAAATCTTGGGCGGGGGATGTTAGAATCGCATTCCCGGGCACTACTACGACGTAAATACCCATGAATCTGCATGATATGTTTCCAAAGATATGGCTTTTTGTCACCCCAACGATAATGTGTGCATAATACATTGTATTTTCCATTTATCATATAGTGATAGTGAGAATAATTTTCAATGAAATGGCCATTAGGAATGACAGATGAATGGAGGAAGAGCTATCTCAATCAGACCAGTATTGTCTATGGCATTAATTATTAAAACAAAACGTCAGTATTTCGTAGGCTCAGACTTAACTGATGAGATTGTAAGGGGGGCTCCCATAAATTGCCACCATAACTATCTATGCCCCTCGATTTCATCGCTTAAAGCGTTCCCTCGAGTCAAATAATTTTTCATATTACAACATCTAATTCTTGCTAAAACATTTTGCTCGTTTATCAAATATCATAACCCTCATAGGGGCTATAACCTCGCGTCGATTCTTCAGGCGTATGGGCCCTTCATTTGCCTTAACTTTAAAAACAAACGGGATCTAACGATAGTGGTTTACTTTATTTGATTGTAAATGAGCGATTATGAGAATCAAGATTTATGGAAAACATCTCGACACGGTAAAGTGGACCCAGAAATTTCATTCAGCTCGTGGTGTAAAACATAATTAATCACTATTGGTAAAGGTTTTATGAGAAGTTTATCTGAAATGAGTACCACCTGTATCTCTTATATGTCTCTTTTATGATCTACCTGCGGAATAACTACTGAATAGTCTATGATTACGCTCTGTTATTTAATCTACAAAATAGTTTCATTGATCAAGAATATTACCCCTTTGCTTTTGTTGATATCCCGTGGTCAACTTTGTTCAACTTCAAAGTCAGCATTTTAGCATTTATAAATAATTTATAAATTGTATCTAAATATATACAGTTGAGTTTGACATGTGAACAGTTTACCGCAACTTTTTTTAATAGTTTATGTGCGGTATATTCTTTAGTTTTAATGCTTTGAATATTGTTGTTGTGGCAAACGTCGACTTGTCTCCGGGATGCGTAGACATCAATCATCCCAAGCCATTTCTGACCACGTTCATATACTATATATATTATGCTGGTAGCTGATTGTCTGGCATGGTGCACGCATGCATTGATGTAAACCATCGATCATTCGGAAATGTGCGAAAGACACCACAGTACACGTCCACAATCAAATAAATACAATCAATCTAAATTACAATTCTATGAACATAACCTTATCTTAATGTTCAATTTAGTCCTTCAACGGTTTCTTAAATAAATACTATCTATATTAACGTGAACATGGTTAATGGGCCATTTAATAGTTGATGTCCTCCCCCACTTGATGTATGCATTCTATTTTATACAAAAATAAGTATGAATAATCATCACATATTGTAAATGTTAATTTTTCTTGATCATTTGTTACATGACTGCTTTTAGATTTTCAAGATGTGGATGGCGATGCCGCAGCCGGCCATCCACGAAGACTACGGACCGCATATACAAACACACAATTACTAGAGCTAGAGAAAGAATTCCATTTTAACAAATATCTGTGCCGCCCTAGAAGAATTGAAATCGCGGCATCCCTTGATCTGACGGAAAGACAAGTGAAAGTCTGGTTTCAGAATAGGTACTTTTTATGACTTGACATTTCAGTTTGAAATATTACAATGAGAAATATTCTCAAGCATTAGGGCTGCATTAATTGTGAATTCATCTTTCCTAATTCTAAATATCAATCAAAATAGTACTGCGTAGTTTAATTTAGGCTATTTATAAGTGTATATTCCCAGGATATGGATTCTACATGTAAAGAAAAGGATCCCGATTCAAGAATATGTATTTCCTGTATTGCTGATTTTAGATTTTTTCCTCAGGTGACATGAAGTCACTCTGAATTCGTATTTTTATTTCCATATTTTTAACTCCAGGCGAATGAAGTTCAAACGTCAACAACTAGGCAAAGGAGGCGAAGGATCGGATGATGAGGAAAAGTCGGCGGATAGCCCATCCAGTCATGATACATCCATGGACACAATGGAAATCACAGAAAATGTCAAGATTGACATTGGACAAGAAAAATCGATGAACGATGAACGAGAACTGGATGGAACTACGGTGAAATCTGAAAGCGTAGAAAACATTGAAAATGACACTAAAGTCACAATCAAAACAAATGGTGACGAGGATCATTATGTCAAATCGCCAGAGGATAAAACAAATAAAGCGGACGAAATGGCTGACATTGGTAGTACGACACAGCATTGTGTCACTGAAAGTGACATTACATTGCCCTCGGCTGGTGATAAAACAGTAAGCGTGATTGAAGTGTCGGCACCAGTGGTCAACTCGAAACCGAAGGCACGTGGAAGACGAGGAACGAACAACAACAAATCAAAAATGGCGTCACATCCGGTGACCAGTCCAAAACCACAAGGCCAAACTGCCTCTTCCCCACAAGTCCCTTGTACGATGTCCCCCAACCTTCCCGGTGCATTGTCTCCACAGGTCCCGAGTCCCATGTTTCCAATTTCACCCCAAAATGGTACAATGTATACCTCCCCCGCTCTGAAATCTGCACCGATCACTTCAACATCGGATGATTACGGTCCCCAGAGCCAGAATATTTATTCCCCGGGAGCCCAAAACGGAGAGTTTCAAACCATTCTAAACGGACACTACTCACAAAGTCCCCCTCATAACCAGTACCAAGCCGCCCAGCCTTGCCACACAATGGAATATTCAGGTAACTTTGCAACTCATAATATTAATGAGCCGAGTCCAGTCACTAATGCTCCACAAAGCACGGTTGAGTCTCTCCAGTATATGGAACAGCGATTTATCGGCTACAACACAGAGCAAAACCCGGAAAATGTGCGTCATTACAACCAGTACCAGAACCAAGTGTACGGAGTTCCCGAAAATCAACATTATGGAAACGCCCAAGAGCTCTCAGAGGGTAACGGTTATGTTTATAATTACACCAACAATTATAGCACTCAGCAACCATCTAGCGAGTTTTCCACATTTCAAGACGCGTTCCTTTGTCAAACTGAATTTTATTGAATTAATAAGTGTTGGTATCCATCTTGCCAGTAACTTGTAATGTTTATATTTTTATCTAAAAAGTAGTTATAAGTAAATAACTTAATCATGTGGCCCAGAATATATGTTGTTTCTGCGTATTTCTATTTATAGTTTTGAATTTTGTCTAGATATTATGAACTCAATTGTAACAGTAACATTTTCCAATGTGGTTTATGTCGTGTTGAATCTCACACTGTAAATGTATTCATTATGAATTTGTCATTTTTATCTTAAATGTAAAATATCAACTTTGATCGTTATTTCAACAGTATTTTATATTTGTTAAATACGTATATCGTGCTAAAATAATGTGCTTCAATATAAAGGGGATTATCAATCAAAATTTTGCAAAAGTCATTTTCAGGCATTAGAATTAAACCAAATTGTAAACCTTTTGTGAAAAAATATGTGATTGTAAGATACAGTATTGTAAGGCTTATTTAGCTTCTATTAAAACAATGGAAGTATCTGTGTATATTTTGAATTGGGTGCACAAAGTGGCGTAGCGGATTTGGCAAACATAGACACACTAGTCAAACTGGGTCGAGTAAGGGGTTTGTTTATGTTATGCCCAATATTCTTAGCATCATTACAAATCTGTCAGAGAGTTGTCGAAACTTGAAAGCGGCGAATTTTCCTCTCGACGACCTTGTTGGTATGGTAATGCAATTGCTTTAAAATATTTGGTCAAAAATGCCTATAATTAAACTTAATATCTGGATGTAATTTCTAAGCGTTCTGGAGGGTGGACGGATTCTTGGGGGTTAGATCAGAACAATACTTGGTCAGTTTTAATGATTCCTTACACCATTGTTAGTTTGACCTGAATAGGCCAGCATTTTGACAAATTAGTTTTTAATAAGACCAAGTGAGCGCAGTGGCTATAGTCGATTTAATAAGACATAGGGAAAGTATTAAGACATCAGGGATGTAGCCGACATCTCATATCAGTATATCTGCCACAGACGTATTTCACATTCGCACGGAATTGACAGGGTATAGGATAGTAAGAATGAAGTGAAATATATTCACTATTACAACTTTATTACACAGTTCTATTCTACATGCATTAATGTGGTACTTTGTACACTTAATATATCAATTTGTGTTAAATTGTGCTATGAGCAATATTGTGTACATTATTTGTAATTTATTGAAATAAAGCATTTAGTATTTCAAAACCGATACCTTGTAGTTATCATTTGATGGGGGAAAATCGTCTAGGGTGAATCCATGTACAGATGTGGCACGAATGATGTACAGTATAATTAATTTCAAGATTCTCTGTTACAAATGCAATTAAATTATTTTTCACGATTCCTCCCACGAATAATATATTGATCCATGTGTTCATTTGTCTTTTCCTTTGATCCAAAGGAAGAAGTAACCCTATACGAAAATATCCAGGATTTTATAATAAGTAATAAAAACAATTCAAATTACACTCACATCGTCAGCTCTCAAAAAACAAAAACAATTACATCTCAATATGAACATTATAAGTTGCCAGATAATGACAGTATAATGTAAAATGTCAGTTGTTTTACTGGTTGTAAGAATGTGGAATAAAAATACTCGAGATTCATGAAATTACATCTCAAAGCACTGCCTACTAATTTAGTCACTCAGCTGTCTGGCTGTCGGGGCTCCCTGAAAGAAATCCTGCTTGTCGAGAGAGAAAAGAAATTGTTACAATTTTTAACTTTGAAGTCAAAATCGTTTACGGTAGGCTATAAGATGTGGTATTGGAACCATAACCACAGTTTGACAAGTGAAAGCAACGGTTGGAGAAGCTGTCTCGCCCCACGACCCTGGTTACTTTTCCGCCTCTCCAAAGAACATAGGCAGGTGTGTCATATTTCTCAGAGAGTCAACTAATGAATAACTTTATATTTGCAACATAGTGTCTATTGCAAGTATTCAGAGAGCAATTCAAGCTGAAATTTTATCTTGATATAACTTTAAGGGAATAATGGCAACGGATGCAAATAATACGTGAGTACGTACAGGTAGAAATGTTACCTCACATTGGAGTAATAAAGGAGGTTTGTATGTTTCAATATCTGTTAATGATAATATAACTTGCTTTATCATTTTAGGAATTATCATACCGTTTTTTATTTCAATGCTAGTTTCATTGCTTAGTCAGTTTTTTGATAGCGCATTCATTCAGCATTGACAGAAAACATCACTCATTTTAGAACTTATAAACGATGATACACTTTGAAGTAGTTTTTATCCCGATTTATTATTGTTTTGGGTATCATTTTTATGACGCCTGTCAGTAGAGGTGGTCGTGAAAGTGATCCCACTTTTGTTGTTCTCTAATACCTAAACTGTCTGGGTGAAGCCTAACTTTGTGGTATACAAACGGTGTTCTTATAATTTGTTTAGTAAACTCAACTGTTGTGCTAAATATACGATACTTTTCAAAGCTGTAATACCCGCTGAGAAGATCGCATGTGAAGACTGATGGATTCCAGGAATGTTTATGAAATTATCGAAACCAAATCCAAGGTTCCGGTAACACCATGCAATTTTTGAAAAACCACTTCAGCAACTAGCTTGTTTATTCTCGTATATAATTCAACAACCCAAGTCTAGCCAGACTATATCCATGGGGTCCGCTGTGTATTTCTACAATGGTTGTATACGGTCGAAATAGAGTTGCAGTTTAAAGACAGGTTGCTTTATGAGAGTCTTTATTCTGGAGCCATTCATTTCTGTGGAATTTCAAATAAATATTTTTGGAAATATTTTTGAATGTTTTGCGCAAGAATTTTCATAATAAGTCATCTTATAGTCCTTTTGTAAAATTGCAAGTTGTTACCGATTTTATAAAATTGCGTGGTATCACGAGAATATAAAAAGGTAATTAAAAAACTGAATTGCAATTATTTGGAATACAACTCAATATTTTGTAGAGTACATGTTACTATCTCTTAAAATAGATTTTCTTCATTTTACCCCTAGTTTAATCATACTTTATCATGCTAAATGACAAAACATCAAAGAATTCCATACCCGCATATAAACTAAAATTATTTGAATTACATCACAATAAAATTGTTCCCAAATAAGTAAACATTCGTGGTAACATATTTTTGTATATTGTATAAAAACCAAATCATATTTACAATGTGGGATGATGGTGCCATCGTAATATTGAAACAGCGTCTAAATCAAATACCAGACCAAGATCTGTCTATATGTTTGTTTAGATGTATCATCTGTTGTGAATGAAACCTCCTCGACTGTATCTGCTTTAGTTACTACATATCATATATTTTGTAAAACAATGATTTTTTTAATATGCAGCCCATATAAATTACCATATTCTCACGCAAGTATATTGAAGGGTTGTATATTTTAATATGCATGATGCGCAATGCTCGGAGATCAAAGACACCGTCAGATTGCAATACATGTGACCTGTCAACAGCATCTGATAGCCTCATGTTATGAGTTCATTTTAAAACAGTTCTACAACTAGTTTTACATGTCTTTGTATTGTCCGAGCTTTATGTTCCACATGATTTCACTAAAATTACAATAAATAAACACACTTGATATTGCAATGTATTGCTGTCAATTCGAGCTGCTGGTTTGCCCATAAAATGATACAGAAATGGTTTGAATCTGTATTCTTGATTGTAGCCATTTGATATGACGTCGAAAGAAAGATGTCTCACTAGCGAAATCAGAAATAAATCGTAATAACCTAACATCTCGCTAGTATCTTGCTATTTTGCAAGTTTGTGAAGTCATCAATCATTAGACAAATTATATTCATTTAATTTATTATAATTACATATTTTTTATTTTTCTATTTGGTATAAATTTGTGAATAACAAATATATATCATAATTATTATACAGCCATCAAAGTAGCATAGCCTTTCTGGTTAGACTGTTTCATTTCGAATGTTATTCCGTTCCATAACTAATGGACTATAGTCCTGAAACCGGATAACCCTTTATATTATGGACGCAAGGGTATCGTGGGAGTCAACATGTAACCCCCCCCCCCCCCATTTTAAGTTATCCTGCTCACCCAATGAGTGAGCACATCAAGTTAAAGGGAGTATCAGATCTAGTTAGCAAAGACTTGACAAAATATCTCTCAATTTCAAAATACTTTTAGCTCTCAAATAATTTTGTAGTTCTTTTGTAAATCTTTTGGGATACATCGTATTTCAGATGGTAAAGAACAAATTGGTATGATCATGTTGTTAGAAATCTTGACAACCCATATAGCCCTGATTCTGTCTTTAAAAGAAACATCTAATATCAAAACCAGACATAAGGACAACAAACCACCAATATCCCAAACTATAGTATTAACCAATTTCCTCGTCCTGTTTACATCATACATGTTACATGTTTTGTCAATTGTAATTTGAGGTCGTTTTATTTGCCTTAACATGAGAAGATGCAAGACACATTTACGTTATCCTTTAGTGTATCTTTGTCATCAGAGTGTAATGTGGTCCGTGTGAATCAAAAAGGGCAAATCAAGTTTCTGGCGAATCACGTATTAGACAATATAAAATGTATCTGGAAGCTTGTGTTGAATAACAAAAATCAGCTTGATAAGTTCAATAAGATGCAGCTTACATTTCACTAGATGTGTTTGTACGTCATCACCGTTTGGCAATGTGCATTTAAACATATGAATAAAAGTACTCACATGGTGATATTCACACAACTGTGTGCTGTTTTGGGGTCCAAATTAGTTTCGTTTTGGGCTTAAATGGTTCTTTTCTGAGCCTCAAGCTTGTAAATGGGTTAAAAAAGAATTCACAAACTGTTAAGAAAAAATGAAAAAGAGAAAGGCAAAGAATGTGAAGGAATCAACAAAAAAAGAATTCACAAAGTGTCAAGAAAATATTTTGGGGAAGGTGATGTTATGCATTGTTAGAACATTGGTTGGGATGTTGGTGGTTGTTTTTGGGTTGACTTGGTATGAAGATGTTACAAGCTGTCAAGAATATATTTATGGAGAAGGGGGTGGTGTGCATTGTTAGAACATTATTTGGGATGTTGGTGTTTGTTTTTGGGTTGACTTGGTATGAAGATGTTACAAACTGACAAGAACATATTTTGGGGGAAGGGGATGTTGTGCATTATTAGAACATTGTTTGGGATGTTGGTGGTTGTTTTTGGGTTGACTTGGTATGAAGATGTTACAAACTGACAAGAACATATTTTGGGGAATGGGATGTTGTGCATTGTTTGAACATTGTTTGGGATGTTGGTAGTTGTTATTTGGGATGACTTGGTATGAAGATGACAAACTCACAAGAACATATTTTTGGGGGAAGGGGATGTTGTGCATTGTTAGAACATTGTTTGGGATGTTGGTGTTTGTTTTTGGGTTGACTTGGTATGAAGATTTTACAAACTCACAAGAACATATTTTTGGGGGAAGGGGATGTTGTGCATTGTTAGAACATTGTTTGGGATGTTGGTGGTTGTTTTTTGGGATGATTTGGTATGAAGATGTTACAAACTCACAAGAACATATTTTTGGCGGAAAGGGATGTTGTGCATTGTTAGAACATTGTTTGGGATGTTGTTGGTTGTTTTTTGGGATGACTTGGTATGGAGATGTTACAAACTGACAAGAACATATATTGGGGGAAGGGGATGTTGTGCATTATTAGAACATTGTTTGGGATGTTGGTGGTTGTTATTTGGGATGACTTGGTATGAAGATGTTACAAACTCACATGAACATATTTATGGGGAAGGGGATGTTTTGCATTGTTACAAAATTGTTTGGGATGTTGGTGGTTGTTATTTGGGATGACTTGATATGAAGATGACAAACTCACAAGAACATATTTATGGGGAAGGGGATGTTGTGCATTGTTGGAACATTGTTTTGAATGTTGGTGGTTGTTATTTGGGTTGACTTGGTATGAAGATTTTACAAACTCACAAGAACATATTTTGGGTGAAGGGGATGTTGTGCATTATTAGAACATTGTTTGGGATGTTGGTGGTTGTTTTTTGGGATGATTTGGTATGAAGATGTTACAAATTGACAAGAACATATTTATGGGGGAATGGGATGTTGTGCATTGTTAGAACATTGTTTGGGATGTTGGTGGTTGTTATTTGGGATGACTTGGTATGGAGATGTTACAAACTCACAAGAACATATTTTGGGGGAAGGGGAT